CTACATTGAAAACAGACATTAAGAGAATAATGTATATGTTTGAACATTATATTTCATGTCGTTTAATGTAATCCAAAATCACAAGCTCAGTGATTCGTTAAAGAATATGCACTGTATATATACACATAAATAGCTGTTTGATCAATTGAAAGTATACTTTAGCTTCCGTGTCTTGCCTTCTGCTGTTACAATGTATCAATACAGTCACACGGTTTCACAATTTGTGTTAAATGTACATTTTATCTCTTTTTGTCTTTCCAACTTGCCTACCTTTGTTGTTTGTTGCCAATTTCCACATCTCCCGTATAAGCGGTTGCAGGATTTTGATTGCACATGTGCGGTGTGAAGACCCAATAGATCCAATTAAGAATAATCATCATAATAATTCACTAAGGCTGTAAAGACTCTGAGGTCAGTCAAATAGGTCAACGTAGGTCAGCCCAGAATGATTGACACCACAGTGAAGTTAAATGACCTAGAAAAAAGCCAAGTCATCGCACTGCACTGCATTGCATCATTCACTTGCATGTAATCACACACCATAGGGTGGGTGGAAATATTAGACAGTAATGTAGTTAGGTGGAGACGGGGAGAGGTTAATCACTCAAGCCTTGTTTATCGATTGAACATGGAACACATGCAGCATTCAGAATGACGCAACACCGCCTACGATACCGGAGATATGGAAAGTGCCAACAAACAACAAAGGGAAAATGGACAGACAGAGACAGGGAAAGACAGAGAAAAAGTGTATATATAAGACATAGTATGAAACCGTGTAACTAAATAATAATATTATTATTATTATGAGTAGCAATAATTCATGCAAGAAACGTCATCATCCAGTCGTTAATACTGTTAATCACTCTGTGATATTCCAAAATTAACTTATCTAATACGGAAAAAAAGTGAATGTAAATGTAGAATTTCAACAGAAGTTCACACAAATTTAGGTCAAAGATTAACCTCTCTTCTACGTGAAAATTTGGTGTGTATAAGTCCTTCAACCAATTCATGATGTTACAATACTAGTTTTAAAGCAGGAATTATACAATAATAATAATAATAATAAGGCAAAGTTAAACTTCAACTACCACTAACTACTAATCAACAAATGACCTCGAACGCACCAATCACGCGAAGGAGGAATTTTTGTGTATGGAATACATATATTTTTATGAAATAATGCATAAAAAACTGTAGAAAAGTGTTTCAGAGGATACCTTGCACTCACATGTGATAAAAATAGATCTCAGTTTTAGGTTGGAGTATCAACAGAGTATAATTCCACAGTGTGGGTAAAATTTATTCTGATAAAGTCTCACAGTAATATTTCCTGAGCAATAGATTCTGCTCGAAACGTTGTCATCAGTAAATATTACTACTGTATTACACTGAGAGTTTATCGAAATAAATTTTACCCACAATGGAATTATACTCGACCACCACACTGCACAAGTTCTATTGTTATATAAACATGCATTATATGCATGTAATTTTATTTAGGTCTTCTAACCCTAACAATAACCCCAATCTTTGCTGAACCTAATAACTCTAGCGTGAAAATATCCCTAAACTAACTGTAATCTAACTCGAACCAACCCTAATGTCGCCTTTAGGTTAGCTCAACCCTAACTTGTCCTTGGCTTAAAGAGTAACTTAATCTTTCTCAAGCCTAAGCTGAAACTTGCCAGAAATCCCATGTAATTGCATAACACTTCGATAAGCATATTTTTTTGATAATGACAACGTTATTTCCCAGGTTTCACTAACTTGCTCAGTGAGCGTTTGAAGGTCATTGGTGCGGTCGCACTCTGTTGGTAGTCAAGTCAGTGGTGCTTAAAGTTTAACTTGGTCAATAATAATAATAATAATAATAATAATAACAGTTCTTTACAAACTTACTCGACCACGATTAACCTGACGAGAGTAAACTTTTAGAAAACATGTGAGCAATTGACAAAACTCTACATCTTTAGATACGATTTTCACATCCTCGATAATGATACCGCATAAAAACTTCTGTTGCATAAGTAACCAGGCTAAATGTGTTATAAAGCCACCTAAGGGATAGAAAAAAATGGTAGAGAATATAAATTTATGTGAATGATATGTAAATAGACTTCGCATATATTAGAGAATCCTTTAAAAACCCGAGGAGAAGTACTAGTCAGCGCTGTTTTGTCCTTTTTCGGGACTCTTCAGCACTCACATTCAGTACGCACCCATTGCTTCACAACCAGCATGGAACCAACCGAAGATGTTCAGATTACCAAGCGAACACGTTTGCAAAATGTAACCATCGAGATGGAAACCATTGGCCTGCCCATGAATTCTAACTTCAGCCAATTTGCGACAGACCGTGACCGCCAGACAACGTCCTCAATGACTAATCTGTCCACAAGCCCGAATTGGTGGACTTCACTGATCACGACAAGCCACTAGAATTTCAGCTAACTTCACCATGCAAAGCTGTTTCCTCCTTGTTCAGGACTTTTCCACCCCTAATGAGGACATAACTGCGTACTACACTTGAATATCAAATTCAATTGATGCAGTAAACAGAGTAGTTTTCAACTAGAAAAGGAACAACAAATTTCAGTAGACATAAAATCCCCACAGTTTATTCAAAACAACATGATTTGGAGCGAACAATTGTGGTTTCGATAAATTCTTCCTTATTCAGACTCTACAGTTATAAATCCATGACTATTAGAAGAATACAAATAGCCATTAAGGGCGTGTGAAAAGTATATCGGAAACTGTCTCTAGTGGGGTACATGTATAATATGGAGTAACAGTTCATCATTTAGTGTCCCCCAATTTTTATTTGTGGTAATTGTGCGTCGGTGGCACAGCGGTTAGGATGCTCGCCGAACATGTACATGTTCCGGGGTTCGATCCCCGGCCGCCGACGCACTCCTTTACCTCGCTAAGCCACTGATAGAACTGGCAAAGAGGGGAGGTTGGGCATGAGGCTAGCAACCCCATCCTGTAAAAATAAACACTGCTAAAGAAACTTCAAGCCTAGCCTAGCTTGAAGCCCTATGTTCCACTGGGAACGTGAAGGAATAAAAAGGAAAATTGTTTTTCTCGCACACCATTGAATATAACTCACACTCCCACTCCCACCCTCACCCCAGTGAAAATTACATTCTGTTCACTATAAACAACATGAGTATGTGTCACTCTTTTGTCAATTCACACTTTAGAACAACACATTCAAGTGAATAATATTGTGCTTTCAACTCGATCTCATCAGATCTAATTAACTCTAATATACATAATTTTACAAATAAAAACTCAAATATACACCAATCACAGTGTAAGATTGTGCATATCAGATGTGCAATTAGTCTTATTAATAGCAATGTGTAGAGGAGTAGGATAGTAAACTACATTTTCTGGACATCTTACTAAGTGGGTGAGAAGTTGAGTTACTTGGGAGAAGAGTGTATAGAAAAAGCACATTCACAGGGCAGTACTCACACTTTCATAGATACGTGCCTATTAAATATAAAAGAATTGTTGTCTGATTAGCAGAGCAAGAAAGATATGTACGGATGACTGCTTGCGAGCGGAATCCGAATACATCCATGATTCACTGACGGAGATCGGATGGATATCCGATTAGTTTCATAAAGGAACATATAAAACATTGGAGAGAAAACCTGAGACCACGACTGCAGGTAAAATACCTCCATTTATTAAGTTACAATTTAATCTGTGACTTGTAAAGTGAGATTTTGTTCCAGAGACTTTTCAGCAGTATATGACGAACTTTTTACGCAGCATACCTATGTTTGTCATTCTCTAACCAACGAATGACTGGTACGCAAACGAAGGATAGATAGCTAGATAGCTTTGCCACACACCTTTGTGCATTTATCAATTCAGCTGCACCTGTGGTCATAGTTATGTTGGGCGTATTAGCAGACAGCTTAGTCAACGTGTCACTACTGAACATCTACCATCATGGTTTGCAAAAGGAAGTGAAGCAATTCGTAGTCCTACTATTTTGTCACATTTAGTTGATAGTAGTCACGTAGTGGGTAAAGTAAAACGAAAGTTTTCAAAGTGGTGATTTGTCGCATCCAACCGAATCTTTCCAATGGACTTCGCATTACTCTTGTTCACACAGCTAACGTGATAGGCATTCGAACTATCAATTATAACGTTTTCGTATTTCCCAATGAATGAATGAAAAATAAAACGATATTGTTGTTTTTACTGGCGTTTCACTGTTGAATGCTGCTAATAGCTTTATCAAAATATTATTAAACCAGAATTCACTACAAAATCTCAGCTTATATACAGCAATATCGTTTTGTTTTTCATTCATTGGGATAATTACTATAAACCAGAGTTTGTGTCAACTCTCTTTCTTCCTCATCAAATGTGTCTTCGGCCGGTATTCTTTGGATTCTACTGAAGAGGCACCTCACTTACTAGGGCTCTATTGTACCGAACAGGGCAGAAACATTACGTCTTCTTATTGTTCTGTTTAAATTACTATTATAGAAAAAAATATGGCGAGCCAAGTTTACTTCTATCATATACAGCAGGTTCAAGGTGAGGACAGTTACTCATCGAAGAGGACATTGCGAAATGGTCACACTATATCATGAATTAGGAGAAGTTAGATATCATGAACTGGTCATTGGATTACGTCCCAGTGGCTCAATGTTCCACGAGCTCGCTTGTCTTGTAAAAAGAAGGTCATTGGTTCGAACCCTGTCGGTGGGTGCGTACTGATGAAGAGTCCCGAACCAGGCTGACGAAACAGCTGTCCAGTACACCCAGCTTCTTTTCCGATGGTTCTCTAATTGATCTCAGCTCATGATGAAATTTTCCAACCAATATATACATACGAAACAAAATCAGATTACATTTAAAAACTGAACCACTTGGTTAGCTGAGTTCGCCGCACTTAACTCTAGAGAACAAAAATAACAAGTCTGACGATACCCCGATAGATATTCTACCTGAGTACAATACCATCAAAAGAGAAAAAACTTGCCTGAATTTGTTCTCACGATATCAGTTTCTGATAGGACTGACGGATCGAACGGTGGATATGCAAAAATCAATGGACGCCCAGTTGAACTTTTCTCACCACCCGGCCTAGAAGGCATATGAACAAAAAAAAGTTTAATTTAAAACACAAAGCTTGGTACAAAATAGGCGCCAAGACGATGCACTATACAACAATAATGATAAAACAACTCGTGAACAAAATGGGCAGAGAATGAATACAGAACTCCATCTGGGATGGTAGCTGTTTTATTTATCAAGATGAAACAGCATTCGTCGAATTATTGTCAGAAGGGGAAGAAGAAAAAAGGATAACTGCAGCACATTCGCCACTGATTGTCATTCTTGGCCACATCCGATAATGTTTCAAGCTATCTTTCGGATCTTTAACCAGGGAGTCGTGATTTATCAACCAAAGCTAACCTACCACAAATATCCTTCATCCCACAACGCCACGTCATGCACTGACCGACCAACAACCTTTCCGCTTTTTCCATCCAGTCCTAGGGCTAGGCGAACAGAGATTTGTATGGAAGCCACTGGGATGACATTTGTAGTATATGTCCAAACCACTGAAGCCGGTGTTTCCAGATGACGACACTCAGTGAATAGTGCCTTCCAATGTGTCCAAACACACACTGTCTAACCTAAGAATTACTTACATGATGATGTCGTCGAATCATATGCTCATCAAAGTGCAGCTCCACTCAACATAGTCGAACAAAGCATAGAATCGCAGTCAAACCTCACTCTACCTCAACTTCTTTAATCGACTTCAAGAAGGCCTTCGACAGTGCACCATTGACCGAGAAGTAATTTGGAAACTACTGCAACACTACGGCGTGCAGTACCCAAATCTTTATCAACCTCATTCAACAGCTGGCTGGCTGGCTGGCTATATGACAATGTCACGTGTCAAGTGATCCACAACAGAAAACACAGTGAGGCGTTCGACATGAACACAGGAGTCGGTCGGTCGTTCGGTTTTTGACATAGAACTTTGCACATATGTGCGGCAGTTCAAGTCGCCACACGAACACAGGAGTAGGACAAGCTGACTGTCTATCATCACTACGGATAATATTCTTAATTGTGGTGGACTGGATTATGCGTCAGACTGTGCACAGGGAGCGAGGAGACAGGAGCACGCTCGATCATCGATGAGGAGACTCTAGAAGATCTGGATTATACGCGTGGATGATATATGTCTAGTGTCACACAAACTTGAAGACTTGCACGCAGGCGAAAACCAACAAATTGACTGAAGAAGTGGCCACAGAAGACAGAACTCCACCGTAACATAGAGAAGATGGAGGTGATGAAGATAACCAACCAACCAACCAACCCACCAATCAACGTCGACCGGAGAAGTTTGAAAGAGGTCATATCTTTCACTTATCTGAGAGCCATACTTTCAACTGCAGGCGACACCACGAATGAGAATTTCAAAACCACAATGGGGAAGGTGGGACAGACTCTCATCACTTTGAAATCAGCTCGACAACCTTCTGCACTCCGCAGCATACACAACAAAATTAGGAATTTTAACGCCAATGTTAAGTCAGCTAGTCAGCCATTCCCTATAATATATGAGTCTGAGACTTGGAGCGTCACGAAAAACATACCCTAGAGGCCATTGAAGACTTTTATCAACAACTACCTTCACTTAATGTTGAAGACCAAAGGCAGGCCAGGAAAAATTAGCAACAAGAAACTCTTGGAACGAGTTATCCAGCAATTTATTGACCAACAAATATTCCGAAGAAAATGGAGATGGACCGGACACACATTGAGGAGACTGAAGAATGATATGGCGCACAATGCAGGCCATCGCTCGAGTAGGACCCGAACGGGAAACGATGAGTTGGGCGGCCGAGATTGATATGACGGGGATTGTGAGAGGAGCAGATGAGAGACTTTAGGCAATCGTGGACCTAGATAAAGACGACAGCAGAAAAAAGGAACGAGGTGGAGATGCGTTGTTGAAGCCCTGTGTTCCACGCGGAACCCAGCGAATAATAATAATAACAAGTGAACAAATTTTTAAAGATGAATGAGTACAGACCAGTAAATATAATTGCAGAAGGTATATTATACACGAGAATGTTACCAATATAAAAAGTATACAAATATATATATATATAACCAGTAAAATGAATTTACTCACTGAAATGTGAACGTAGAATGAGAACGATTTGTAGCTGTAGTCATTGGTGTCTCAGGTGCAATCCACAGCACACACGTAATATCAGTCGGAGTAGTACTAGTACTCGGTTTCAATGAACTACCAAAATTATTGGACGGAGGGAAATTCCGATTAGCTATCAACAGGGCATTGGCTAAATGTAAGCCAACACGTGATCGACCATCACATGATGACAAGAGTAAAATACAATCATCATCATTCTTCGCTGCTTCCATTAACAGGTTAGCCTGACAATTTAAAAGATTTAAAACTAATAGTTACCATCTATAATGGAGAATATTTATAGCTTAGGTGAATGATTTTCACATTTAGTTGTGTTCTGTGAACTGGCTGATTTAATTGCACAGCTTTCATTGTCCTGCTAGACAACATATCCATTCAGCGCTAAAAATGATGACAATGAGAGAATAACATATGGAGGTTTTATATGTAAGCGAAGTTCAACGATAGCGTCCCAGAAGTGCGAACGCTAAAATGACCTTGAACGCATGCTAGTCGTTGGCCTACGGCACCACCTGTCATTATCATAGCTGAAATATCAATGCTATTCACCAACTAAGCAGCAACTTTCACCCAGATCACCTTTTCAAGTACTGTTTGGACAATGTGTTAATAGCTCGCTCGCTAGGGTTAGGATTAGGCTTAAGGTAAGTATTGGGGTTAGGGTTAGGCCTGCGGCTAGGATAAGGGTTGTAATTAGGGTTAGAATTAAGGTTAGGTTTACGATTAGGGTTACATTTAGAGCTGATGTCACTTATTCGAATTTGTTTTATTATCCACATTTTCCTGGTGAATAATCATCGATCCTCTTACTGGAAACCATAGTAATTCAACCGAGGCCTTTGTAAAACAAGATACGAGAGATAAACGATGCACAAAAGCAGCTCATCTTCAGTCACCTCGGTGAATACATGTACAGAAACTAGTGTAACTAACTCAGCAACTGATACTCCCTCCTCATTACACCTAGGACGTGTTTTTAAGTGATGTCAGAGAAAGATACCCTGTTTAATGTGTTTTCATGCATTTTCTTGTCAATATACATCATTTTTCATGCAAAAATTCCTCATTTTATGATTGGTCGGATCAAGGACACTAGTGCGTTCACATCGTTTGGGATGCTATTGTTGAACTTTGCCTACCATAATACATAATGTCTATATAATCACTATGACGTAAAGAAGTCTGAAATAACCAAACTATCGATATAAACTCCGAGTTATGAATATCACAGTATTTTTTTACTCCTTCTAATACCTACTCAGATTTTACTATTATTAACCACTTTGAATTCCTAGCGGCAAACAGGGCTTTAACAGAAAACCTCCACGTTGTCCTATTCACTGAAGTTACACTAGAAGGATAGTGTGGCGCATAATGTCACTCGAAGTTCTTCGCATTTCTACTGCCTCATCCGAACTGATTGACGCAAGACGACTGATTCCGGCGAGCTCCGATAATGATGATGAGGAGCAAAAGCTGCTCAAACAAAAACTAACAAGAAGTTTTCGCAACGACCGGGAACTGTGCTGGTGGGGGGTGACAAAAGTGAAAGAGATGGAAAAGGCATCGACGATTGGTAACATCAGACAACTACTTAGACTTATCAGGGAAACAGATGGTGGAAGGCGAATGATGATAAGTGAAACAATCTGTGAGGAAAATGGCACCATAATTAGCTCTTACCATGGACGCCTGAAACACTGGAAAGAAAACATTGAGGAGAAATTTAATCGGCCTGCAGCCATGCTCAACTTACTCAGCATCCAATACCTACCTCCCTGAATCGGATATATACACAAGTCCTCCGGCCTTAACTGAGGCTACAAAAGCCGTTACTAGTCTGAAACGAAGCAAAGCACGGAGACCTTCTGGAATAAGTCCATCGGTGTTTAAAGATGGCGGAGAAGGTCTACTGTTAGCATTAACTAAAATATTAGGCAGCGTCTGGGAGTCAGAGGAAGTCCCATTGGGTTGGTGTAAGTCATTGATTATTCCGATATACACGATTGGAGACAAGTCTCTGTGTGATAATCACAGGGAGATTAGCTAGCTTGACTAATATGGCATCTAACGTTGTGGGCTGAATAATCAAGCGTGGACTAAGTGGTGCTCGAGAGGCACAAATACGAGAGAACGAGGCAGACTTCAGACCAGAAAGAGGGTGGGTGTATTCAACAGATTCTGCTGTTTGTGCCTTTTTCTTATGACTCAATATCGGAATATTTCGTTCATTGAAGATTCTGGAACATAGGCATACTTACCGGCGTTCAACAATCGTCATATTTCTCGACGTGGAAGCAGCATCCGATTCCTTCGACCGACAGGTACCATGGCGATGTCTCACTGTCAGGGGAATACCGAGGAAATACATCGCACTGACCAAGGCACTCACTCTACTCACACTCATGCTGCGAGCCAGATGAGAGAGAGCCTACGGAGGGACAGTTGTCATCTGAAGTCGTGACACCAAAGGGTGTCTGTCAGGTATGCCCACTATCCCCATTTTTGTTTAATTTCATCATAGATGTACTGATGAACTTAACTCTGACCGACTACTTCACCGACTTAGGGATTGACTTGTTACCATTAGGGAATAATCTCGTTGACTTCAAATATGCATGCGTATGTTATAGTCCATTTGGTGAGTGAAGACGCGGAGGGAAAGAAGAGTCTTCTAAACACACCTTAAGCAGCTAGAAATCTTCGAGTGTTTGGCATGCGATTCGCTCCTGCTGTCAAATGGAAGCTGATACTGCAGGTGCTATCCAGCTGGCTGTCGACCAAAGGACCTGTGTACTGTTCAGCAGTATGCTTCGTCCTCCTTCAAGGCTGTGAGTGAGACCTGGCCATTGAGAGTGGAAGACATCAAAAATCCGGCTAGCCAGCTGTCTTTGATCATAGGTACCCGATTTCTATCTCCTGTGTAAGGTGGTAGGTGTAATAGGGTGAGCAATATTGAGGTGAGGTGTCGGTCGAGTGCTAGTTGGGTAGGTAGGTAGGTAGGTAGGTGGGAGGGAAATCAATCGATGAGTTTGTGAAGTTACACCGATTGAGATGGTTAGGACATGTGTTAGGCATGCATTGCTAGCCATCGCCTTCCTCGACCGACGGACAATGTGAGTTGAAATAGGATGGATCAGGTTGGAAAATAGTTAACCAGCCAGTCAGTCAGTGGTGGTCAAACCAAAACTAGCCAACATGGCTTCGTCAGTCAGTGAAATCCATCCACAACAGTTAGTTTGTGCCAGCCAGCCAGTCAATCAGTCACATTGAGAAGTGTACACTGGTTGGCTGGTTGGGGCTCTCGGCACCTTAGAAACCAATGAAGGCATGAGACAATTGGTGATATGAAAAAGAGAAGACGTTCAGCGAAGAGACTCTTTTCGCCGGCGAATTCATTCACATATCTGTACAATCGCATTTATATATAATTATTTGTGTATGTGTGTATATGTGGTTTGTCAAGTTTAGATAATACAAGACTGATCTAGTATAGAAACAAGGTTAATTAGACAGACAGCAACTAAAGTAACATTGAGTTAGTAAGTTAGATCACGCAATATAATTGACTAAAATGTTTCAATTCAGGTTAGGATAGCAACAGAGGTAATTACAGGTAGAGAGAGACTAAGTAGAAGTGGGGTAGAGAATAATGCCATTTATATTAGAAGTGAAATTGAGCAAATAAGTTGGATGACGTAACATAAATGACTAGAAATTGAGCGTTGGTCAAGTCGGTAACAGTGGTAGTGAGGTGTAGAAATTAAATCGGGTGGGGGTAGAGAACAAGAAGGTTGAAAACGTAAAATATTACAGTTGAGAAGACAAATTGATACTAATGAAGAGATAGAAAAAAATATTAGGTAGAATTTACTTGTCGGGTAATAAGATAGATTACGTCCATTGCAAGTGTAGTGATTGAACGAACTTCTTCTGTATGCCGAGTTCAGGACTTAGCAAGTGAATCGCCATTGCTTCTGCAGTTTGAAGAAGTCTGATTCGTACACCTTTAGGAAGACTACTTCGTATTCTGTAGACGACTTTGAAGTTTGTTTGGGGTGTAGCTTGGTGTCCGGAATCTATCAGATGTTCTAATATGGAGCTGTGGGGGCATCGTTTTTCTCCTTTGTAAAACCATGTTGGTTAGTGTTCGGTGATACGTTTGGAAAGTGAACGCTGGGTACGGCCGACATACCTGGCTCCACACGAGCAGGTGAATTGGTAGATACACCTTGATGAGGCCAGCAGTGGTAGCTTATCCTTCACGTTCACATGAATCAAAGGTTTTGTCGCGAAGATTAGTCGTAGTTCACTTGCGAAGAGGATCTTCTTAAGTGAGTGCGACAGTCGATTTTTCAGTGTTTCCGCAGATATATCTTCATTGAATTGAAGATTCATGTAGAGTAGTTTTTTCGGGACGCTAACCATGGGCGGCTTTTGTGGTCTAGGATTCATAGATTTTGCAATAAATCGTTCTGGATAACAATTCTCGACGAGGATTCTCTTCAGATCGTTCTGCTTACTATAGTTATTTTGAATCTGTCTTTTTTTCCTTTGTATAGTAGTTACATGAAGTGTGGTAACTCGAACTGTTATACTTCGGTGCAAAGTTCAATGTTGAAACTAGTCAGTCAGTCAGTCAGTCGATCACACCATCAATACATTTTGACTTTTGTACACAACTGACTTTCTAAATGCAAATGTGACTGATCAACTTTTGAAGTTCACTTGGTTTTATTTGCTCAAACAAATTTCAAAGGTTTTTGTTTTTGAAGGTTGTTACATATTTACACATTGTCACCAAACTCCAACTACTACTACTGCTACTTCAAACAGCTCAAGCTAATCAATAAATATGTCCATTTAAGTACTGTCTGTTATTACTACGGGGTTTATAATCCATTAAGCCTAAATTACGTATATTATAATTACACTACCGAGTGATGAACTGTTTAATTTTTGTATCCAATGCACGGTCCCTTGTGATCTATATACTCATTTCATTTGATTTTTATCACACTGCTAAAGTTGCTACACATCTGAGAGTTTCACTGAATCTTAGATCAAATCATCAGACAGGTGAGAAATTGATTTGTAAATAAATAAACAGGCGGTCAAAACTGTTCCACAATTTGTAATATTGATGCTTATCCCGGACTACCTTCTGAAGTCCACCTAATAATATCTGCTGACTTGCACATGATAGATATAGATTCGATCTCTACCTGTCACAGCTAGGTAATATTCAGAAATAAAAATTTTGTAAATTTGATCGTGACCAGGAGAGACACAGTCAGAGATCAGTCAGTTCCTCTATATGGGTCAAGAAAAAAAAGCTATTTCCAACAGGTCAGTCACTGAAGACTTTTATCAAAAGCTGCCTTCGCTGGCTCCATATATTCAAGATCAAATGGTACGCCAGAAAGAATTAGGAACAAGAAACTCTCTGAACGAACCAATCAAGATTCTACTGTTCAACAAATATTCCGAAGGAAATGGAGATGTATGGGAAACATACTGAGTTGACCCCGTTGAGTGATATGGCACTCTCCAGGGTCACGACTAGTGATGTCTGTCAGGGATGCTCATTATCCCTATTTCTATGCAATGTCATCATAGATGTACTAATGGATTTAACCCTAACTCACTTCAAAGACTCAGGGATTGACTTGTTACCAAGGAATAATCTCGTTGACTTAGAATATGCAGATGACATAGTCCTTCTAGGCGAGGACGCTGACAAAATTCAGCAGAGTCTTCTGAACACCTTGAGCTGCAATCAATCTACGAATGTTTGACATGCGATTCGCTCCCGCCAAATGCAAGATGATGTTACAGGATTGGACTAAACCGACTCCTAGATTAGAAATCGCAAGTGAAGTGGTAGACCACGTTGACCACTTCACTTACTTGGGAAGTACCATCAGCCAACGCCGACGGGTTGATCTCTGTCGAAATCGCAGTACGGATACAGAGGGCTAGTTTCGCATATGCCCGCCAGTTTACGCCGTCTCTGGCTTAGTAGACGTGATATCCGGCTATAGACCAAACGATGGGTGTACTGCACAGCAGTCCGCTCCGTCCTCCTTTATGACTAGCTGTGAGCGAGACCTGGCCATTGAGAGTGGAAGACATGAAAAGATTAGCTGTCTTCCATCATAGGTGTCTGCGTTCTATCTCCCGTGTGAAGTGGTATAATAAGGTGAGCAATATTGAGATTAGGCTACGGTCGAGTGCTAGGTAAGAAGGGAGGGGAAATCAATCGACGAGGTTGTGAAATTACATCGACTGAGATGGTTAGGACATGTGTTACGTATGCCTAGTCATCGCCTTCCTCGACCGATAGGCAATGTTAGCTGATAATATGGGGTCAGGCTGGAAAAGAGCTAGCGGCGGTCAAACCAAAACATGGCACCAGTCAATGAAATCTACAACAGTTAGTCTAGGCCACGTAGGAAGGTGTAGATTTCCTGACTGGTTGGGGTCCTCGGGACGGTAAAAACCAATGGTTGGAAACAACTGGTGACATGGCTCAAAATCGTTCTCAATGGATGGCACAGATGCATCCACTTCTTGTGACTTATGATTTCCAATGAAACCGTTTTGCTCTCCGTTATTCCTATTCCTTTGTCTCACACCTCTGTTTACTGTCTATATTGGGCATTTCTTCTACTTTCTTCTCTTGCTTTGTGTGCTAAATGGAGGGAGTGTGGTGACTTGAACTACTGCACAACGGTGCAAAGTTCTATGTCGAAAACAGACAGACAGACAGACTCCAGAGCCATCCCTGGAGTGGAACCCGAATGGGAAACGACGAGTGACATGGATGAAATGAGAGACTATGGGCGACCATGAGGCCAGCTAAAGAGGATCGCAGAGAAGAGGGCAAAATGGAGACGTGTTGCTGAAGCCCTATGTGTTCCACTCGGAACCCAAGGGAACAATAATATATACTAATAATGATAATAATAATAATAATGACCAGATGAATTTTCTGTATTATATTGAACAGGCATATCACTCAAGTATTAGCTTACCTCCGCATCAGTAAATTTCACTGAAGGCCATACAGGACACAAAACTTCTTGACACGAGCGACGATATTCCCTTAGTGGAAGGATATAATCGAAACCTATTACTGAGCTTCCATGGATTTTGGCAGTTCCCAATTTATGCTCTTCAGAGTTTAAATGTTCTTGCATCGCTGAACGAAATACTATCGCTTCACAATCTTCACATCGATAGGAAATACTCTTTGAATCACCGCCATCCAGTAATGTCTAAAAAGGGATAATAAAAAAACTTTAACAAGTGGGGTAAAAGCATCGTGACCACATTGAGAGAGAAATGCTTTATTTAGACTGAAACAGTGAAATAAGGATTCACATAGGATGATGAAGATATAAATCAAAAGTGATTCGAAAAACTTTGCAAATTTCACACCAACCGTATACACATATGAACTACTTTATAATTAACTATATCAAACAGAGAGAAAAAACAATCACTTCACTCAACAAATTTCAATTCCTACACGTTAACTAAGGCAAATTGATTTTGTATTTCTAGTTTGAAAATAAACTGAGTTATACTGTGAACAGAGAACCTACAGAGCATATTATAAGATGGTTGGGGGCAATCCGGCCAGAGGAAGCCTTGCTTGCTTGACCTAAGCTTCAATATAAACAAAAAAAATCCTCATTTAGACATTTAAAAAACAGAAAGATTGAGCGAAGAAATATTTACTTTTCAATTAGATCCTCATCTCTCTCTGGCTCTACTCTAATATACATCTAGAGCATTTTTATTATAATACACAACAATTTATCAATCAAGTGGCATTGATATGTTTGTCAACAATAATTAGTCAGTGTCAAAATGTCAATGGGTTGATAATAAACGAAGAAAATCAATACACATTTAAAAGGTAGAAATGGATAGAATAAATTAATTTTACAAGGATAACACGTAATTAAACATGAAGTGGTCAGAAAAAATAATAAAATAATTTGGACAATAATAACTTTTATAATTTTAAAGGTTTAGGGGGAGGGGGGCGAAATAGTCCGGTTTATACAGTCATGTAACGATGGCCAAGGTAAGGAAAGTGGCTGTACACACAGGTTTGGCTTCTTCAGGTGGGTTTCTATTGCTTCAACTGCCTGTAGAAGACGAACTCGTGGAGTAAAATTAAGATTAGTAGGGATGCGAGAAATAATTTTAAATGCAGTATTAACGTCAACCATATGCTCACTATCTACAAGGTGTGCTACAATAGAGCTATGAATAGATCTTGTTTGTCCTTTGCTTAACCATGTTGGATGATGTTCGGAAATACGATGATGAACCTGCCTAATTGTACGCCCAATGTAGGTGGCTCCGCAGCTGCAGTCAAACTGGTAGATACACATAGAAGAGGTAAATGTAGATAGTTTATTCTTATTTCTAGAACGTAGAATACGGGTGATAGTGAAGAGACAACGTACCTCTGCTGCATAATAAGCTCTCTTAACTGCATTTTTATTTAAATAATAACCCAGCGCCTGAAGAATGTAGTTAAAAGAGCTTATTATGCAGCAGAGGTACGTTGTCTCTTCACTATCACCCGTATTTTATGTTCTAGAAATAATTATTAACTATCTAAATTTGCTCTTCTATGTGTATCTACCAGTTTGACTGCAGCTGCGGAGCCACCTACATTGGGCGTACAATTAGGCAGGTTCATCATCCTTTTTCCGAACATCATAATTGTGTGTATTAATTTTCTTCGTTAATTGTCACTCCATTGACATTTTGACACTGACTAATTATTGTTGACAAACATACATATCAGTGCCACTTGATTGGTAAACTGTTGTGTATTGTAATAAAAATGCTACATATGTGTGTTAGAGTAGAGCCAGAGAGAGATGAGGATCTAATTGAAAAGTAAATATTTCTTCGCTCAATCTTTCTGTTTTCTAAATGACCTAAGTTTCGTGATTGTTGGTACTCTCACCAGTGAGCAAGGTCCCTCCTGAGATTCGCACCCGCATCACCCAGTTAGATCTGCAGTCAGAGACATTACCACTGAGGTATTCGGGCCCACGATTGACCTCCTGTGGGATTGTATTGGACACTTTGATTAGACACACTAGTCATTAACTAATATCAATGTGTCTAGTCCTTTGTTTTGGTGCAGACTGAATTCTATTGTCAGTCAAGTTTGCTATGCAGCCACCACCATGCTAGGTGCCTCAGTGGTAACGTCTCTGACTTCAGTACAGGGTGAGACGGGTTTGCATCCCAGAAGGGACATGAGTTCTTTCAAGATTGCACACACGCCTTGCTGACTGGTGAATGCGAACAAATACGAAACTTAGATGAAGAGAGGCTTCCTGTGGTCGATCGCCTCCAACCATCTAATATTAAAAATTCACAGGGCACCGTGAGATGCTGAGCCACATTGCAAAATTGACAGGCTGACAGAATTCAGCCTGCACCGACACCGAGGACTAGCTGGACACATGATAGTAGTTACTAACAAGTGTGTAATCTAGGTTACAAGGATATATATATATATGTATATAAAGCACACATATGACTTATAGAAACTATATCTAAAATGTAACATTTTATTACAGCAATCCCTCAGCATCTTTTCGTTCTTCGAAAGTTATTTCCCGATCGACATAGCTGCTACCATGAAGTGGTGATCGCACTTGCACAGTCAATTATCCAACGAGCTACAACACTACCAGACAGTCAGAAAGTAGTAAGTATCCTTGCAAATCCCACCAAGTGTGTTTATTCATTATTTAATCCCACCTGGCGAATAGAATGAATCTGGAAAATTTCACTAAACACCTATCAGGACATTCTTTGGTTACTTCATTCACATGATGTCTTACATATGTAGTGATAGGCATTGGAAGATAGGGTAGAGAAATCCCTACTTGACTGGATCTCAGGGGATACTTACTTGTATGTGTGCTGCTCCATCAGAGCACAGAAGGAAAGATTACACTACTCATCGATATGTTTTTATAACATCCAAATACACATCCTGACACACTGTAGTTCACACAAAGCAAATAATTTCTACAGAAAGATGTTTCGTTCACTGACTGACTGATTTCAACACAGAACTTTTCACCGATGTGCAGCAGTTCGAGTCACCACACTCCCTCCATTTAGTACACAAAGCAAGAGAAGAAAGTAAAAACAAATGCAAAATAGAGATAGTAAACAGAGATGTGAGGCAAAAACAATAGTAAGATGTAAGAACCATATAGTTCTATTGGGTATTATAAGTCACAGGGAGTAGATGCATCTGTGCCAGCCATTGAGTGAGAACGATTTTGAGTCATATCACCAATCGTCTCAAGTCTTCATTGGTTTCTACTGTCCCGAGAACCCCAACCAGCCAAGCAGTCTACATTTCTCTACGTGACTGACTGACTGGCTGACTAACTGTTTTCCAAACTGATCCATCCTATTTCAACTCACATTGTCCGTCGGTCGAGGAAGGCGATGGCCAGCAATGCACGCCTAACACATGTCCTAACCATCTCAATCGGTGTAACTTCACAACCTCATCGATTGATTTCCCTCCCACCTACCTACCTACCTACTACCTACCCAACTAGCACTCGACCGACACCTCACCTCAATATTGCTCACCCTATTACACCTACCACTTCCCACGGGAGATAGAAGGCAGGTACCTACGATCAAAGACAGCTGGCTAGCCGGATTTTTAATGTCTCCCACTCTCAATGGCCATGTCTCACTCACAGTCATAAAGAAGGAGGGAGTGGACTGCTGTGCGGTACACTCGCCAACCACACATGTGGTCCGGGATTCGATCCTCAGCCGACGTACTCCTAAACCTCACTAGACCGGTACTAAGGCTGGAAAAGACCGAAGGTTGGGTGCGAGGTTAGCAACCCTATGCCGTAAAAGTATTTCTTTTAGCATAACAGTCACCATTGTTTGAAAGTGTCAGCATAACACATATAAGGAGGGTATATAAAATTTTTTTTAAAAAGTAGTATAACACATACGTTTGTGGTTTCCAAATTTTTGCTGTCTGTTGTGTTGACATTTGATTTACTTTGGTGTTTACGCCCACGAATATGAGCGGCTAATTGCTGCCGAGAATTCATTTTTACATCACACGAAGAACAAAAGAAACTGCCATCAGGTAACAAAAACTTTTGCGTCATATCTGCATCAATAGAAACCATGTTTACAGGTGATTCATGATCAGGAGTTGAATTTGTCAATGTTCTAGAAGATGGCTTACACATATCCCAAGATAGATCTTTGGGAGACGTTGATTCAGGTGTGGTAAGTACTGGTAGTGAAACTTTCAATGGTTGGTGAATATGACTGACTGAGTTAGATTTTTGCAAACTAAGGCATTTTAAACGATGCTTTTTGCCTTGTTCATGTAATCTGAGAACATTTTCAGTATCACACCGCACATTGCAGACATTGCAAGCAAATTGCAGATTACTCATCTGAAAGATTACACACACACAAAAAAAAGTAGAATTATTTTGAGGGTGAAAAACAGCAACCCTTTAAATCTAAATGTGAAAGGCCCTGGAACTTTCACTACTGAGGCTACGACAAGTAATACACAACCCATATTCTTAGCGTTTACTTTATTTACTGCAAATAACTCACATTAATAGTACAATACTGTTTGATAGACTCTGTGTGCAGAAACATTTGAGTCTTTACAATTATATCATAGTTTTCATATAATGGATCACAAAGTTTTTAGCATAAGCCTACCACCACATATTACCCACTATATGCATTTTTCCATGATAGTAAACAATACATTGTAGTATTACTATATTCAGTACAAAACTGATCACGAGCTGACATCAGTTACAGAACTATTGGAAGACCTGACACAGTAATGAACAGCTGTTTTGTCCCAGTCTGGGACTGTTTATCCATCCATACTCACCCAACAACCGACATTCGAACCCAGGACCTTCTCGTTGCGAGAAGAGCTCGTAGACGGTTGTTAAGCTATTGGAACCCGACCCAATTCAGATTATTACTCTGTCATACTGTCTAGGTTTAGATATCACAACTGGGAAATATTCACTGTCAGTAGACTGATTAACAGGAGCATTCATATTCGCAAAATAAATCAATATTCACAAACAGCTATCATATATATTATATTTATACCAACAAGCATTGTATAATAACTTTAGCGGATTCCAAACGCCTAAGGATCTATATTTCAGCTTTAGTTGATAGATAAGCAACAAAGAATCACATTTATCATCAGGCTTCTTAACCTTGCCCAGTTAACTAGCCTGCTAGTTCTCTAGCCGGTCCCAAGCCCGGGTAAAAAGGGAGGGTTGGGCTGCTACCTTGACGTGGTGGTCGAGCCTGCCTGCGTATCGCAACGAACCAACAGGCTACACCGGCTACACTGGAACTATTCTTCCTGCACGTCCTATCATGCCAGGAAGGTTGTTAGGATAGCGAGCGATTTGACTAAAAGCAGTTACCGGCAAAGTGTAAACATTTCGTTTTTACACTACGCTGGAGGTGTGTGGGCAAACTCGTACTCCTGGGGAACAGGGATATAACACCAGTGAGGTGATGCCCATATGGATGTAGATTGTCAAAATTGTCAACTGGACAGTCAGTAATCTACTACGGTCTGGTCACCCAGACGACAACCATGAGCACAATGAGGCAATGAGTGGCCATCATGATGTCAACAGTGCCAACCAAATACCTAATGCAGTGGGAACCAAAATCATCCCGCCTGATCCTGACAGCATGATTCAACTCAAAAGGAAGGAAGGAAGGAAGGTCACAATTGTCCAATGCTACGCACAGTGCTACGAACAACGCGGAACAAGACAAAAAGGAAGATTTTTACAGACAACTACAAACAGTAATGGACAACATTTCGAATGGTGACATCAGAATCCTCATGGCTCGCTGGCTGGCTGGATTCAACATAGAACTTGGCACCGACGTGCAACAATTCGAGTTGCCACGTTCCAAATAGCACACAAACGTAGACAGGAAAATGAGTGAAGAGAATCAATAGAGTTTTGACAAGTATAAGAGTGAAACACAATGAGTAATGGTAGAAAGGAATATGAAAGATTACACAGACTGAATACATCTGATTTTCCCTCTTTGCCCAACACTCTACGCCTAACGTCAACATTACTTACCTTATTATACCACCTAACGCGAGAAAGAGATCGTAAACATCTGTGGTCAAAAACAGACAACCTTTTCATGTCTTCAACTCGTATTGGCCATGTTTCAGAGCCATAGAGAATCCTCATGGGCGATATGAACGCCAAACTGGGAGCAGATAGTACAAGAAGAGAACTCATCATGGGTCGTGAGGCGCTGGCTCTGAGAAATGAAAGAGAACGGAGAACTATTTGCGGTATTCTGTGCTTTCAATGATTTGGTGATCGGAGGAAGCGTGTACAAACTCAAGGATATACACAAAGCAACATGGATTTCACCTGATGGGCATACCACGAACTAGATAGATTTCATCTCAATGCTACTCAAGGTGAAGCTGAAATCCTTAAGGACAACTGGAGACAGGACACAATTCAAGTTCAACATTCACAAACTGAAGGACAAAAGTACAAGGGATGCCTATGCTACAGATCAGATCAGATCGGAGCAAAGTCGGAGACACTATGTGGCATTACTGAGGACAGCTGCGTGCAAGAGCATTGGAACTCTCTGAAGGCAATATTCAAGGACGTGTACAACTGTTCTAGGAAGAAAGAAGAAACAAGACAAGGAATGGCTCTCAACGGATACATGGAAGCTAATAGAAGAGAGAAGCATGGTGAAAGAGATGACTCAATGCAAAGATGCACAACAGAAGGAGAAGTTGAGTTCAATGTACACTGCACTGAATAAGGCAGTAATGAAGAGTGCTAGGAGAGACAAAAGACAAATCTACGACACACTGGCAACAGAAGCATAACAAGCCGCAGGCAATAGAGATATCAGGACATAATATCACATAACCAGATATCTATCTGGAAAGAGATCAAGCCAGATGATGAAACCACTAGAAGATGGTCAAGGGAACCTGATTACCAAGGAGGAGAAACAAATAAAACAATGGGTTGATGACTTCAAAGGACTCTTGAATCGACCATCACCTGAAACTCCACTAGATATACCACTAACAGTACTCACGGAAATGCCTGTCAATGGACACCAATCCTCCAACGAAAGCTGAAACTCTGAATGCGATCAAGCTACTGAAGTCCGTAAAGGCAGCAAGACCAGATGGAATCAACCCTCCACTACAAAGCACTGAAAACGGATCCAGAGACTGAAGTAGATGTGCTCACGCCATTACTGCACAAGGTTTTGAAGGAGGGAAGGGGAGGTAACCAACGATTGGAAGAAAGGCTGGCTACCACGTCAAGCTGCCAAAGAAGGCTGACATATGGATCCGCAAGAACTGACTGGCGTGGAATAATGCTCTTGTCCACGCCAAGTAAAATACTAAGTCGTGACATCTTGGACAGACTAAGAGATGCACTGGATTGATATGACGGGGACTGTGAGAGGAGGAGATGAGAGACTATAGGCAACCGTGGACCCAGATAAACACGACAGCTGAAAAAAAAGAACAAAGTGGAGATGCTTTGCTGAAACCATCTTATAGTTCCACTAGGAACCCAAGAGTATAATCGTAGCAGTATATAATACTGTAAACGTTTAATTAAAGCTTCTATAGTAAGATGGTAATTTCGGCCTTCAAGAAACTTACAGATGTGCAAGTTAAAAGTTTACAATCGCCAAATGAAAGGGAATTATTCTTCCCAGAAAAAATTAGATCCCCAGAAATGACACATCTCAGGGGGGATATGAGTTCCTTCAAGATTGCAGATACATATGCCTTGTTCATTAGTGAGTACCAACAAATATTAAAACTAGGTCAAGCAAAGCTTCCTTCTTATAGCCTCCAACTATGTGATAACATGCATTCGTGTTAGGCTGGATCACAATGGATGTATGACTCATTCGAAATAAGAGTTCTCGAAATAAAGCTAAATATCACTTGTAGTAAATTAAATGAAACGTAGAAGAGCGATCATAAACAATTCAATAAATTCTAAGTGAGTAAAAGATGCATGAGTCATATTCTTACGGAGTGATTCTATATATACATACACATATATATATGTATATATGAAAAGGCATTCGACATCGTCGATCGAGAGGTGCTTTGGCAACTACTTCGCTACTATGGGGTCCCACCGACAATTATACATCTCATCCAACAGCTGTATGACAATGCTGCGTGCCAAGTTTTCCACAACGGGAAACTTACGGAATCCTTCGAAGTGAGGACAGGAGTAAGACAAGCTGGCTGCCTACTATCGCCAATGATTTTCCTGATTGCAGTAGATTGGAGAATGCGACAAACAGCGGGCAATGAGGAAACAGGCATAAAATGGACCCACACAAAAAACTTGGAGGATCTGGACTTCGCCGATGATATGTGTCTGATTTCCCACAAACTGGAAGATATGCAAGCGAAAAGCAACAAGTTGGCAGAAGAAGCATCCAGAGAAGATAGGACTTCGGGTGAACATAGAGAAAACAGAGGTAATCAAGATTCCTGGACAAGAACAACAACAACAGACAACGATCAGCATAAATGGGAGGAACCTGAAAGAAACAGCCTCTTTTACCTACCTGGGAAGCATCGTTTCGACTACAGACGAATGGAACTGACGAGGATATCAAAGCAAAAATCGGAAAAGCAAGACAAGCTTTCACTACTCTCAAGTCTGTGTGTAGGTAAACAGCACTCAGCATCAAAAATAAGATCCGGATTTTCAACTCCAATGTGAAGTCACTGCTACTGACTGTACGGTTCAGAGACTTGCACTGCGCGTCATAAAGAGCATCTCAAACAAACTACAGACCTTTATCAACAGTTGTCTTCGCTCAATACCACTCAAGATCAGATGGCCGGCCAGAAAAGATCAGCAACAGAGAGGGATCTCTGGCAATGAGCGAACCAACCAGGGGCCGATTGTGAAACAAATAGGCAGGAAGAAATGGAGATGGATTGGTTGGCCATACTCTGAGGAAACCATCAAGTGACATCACTAGACAAGCCATTGCTCGAGTGGAACGCGAAAGGGAAGCGGCGAGTTGGTCGTCAGTGCAAGGGTGACATGGAGGAGGTCTGTAGGGGACTTATATTAGAGTTCACTAGAATTACAAAATATGAGAAATAAAACTCAAGTCAATGGAATGTTAAGTAACAGTATATTACCAAAAATGCAACGAAACGTTATATCAACAAAAGGGTTACTTGGAAATAAAGTTTAAGTCCTCTGCTACAGATTATTTATATAACCCACGGAGACGTTAATTGTTTGGACGGAGTGGGTTGTAGCTGCTGTGTCCCAGTTGTAGAATTGTCTTCGGTTGAGCGTAGTGGACTTCTACAATAAATTCGAAA